ATAAAGTAAGTGTTCAGTAAATGTTGGCTTATCATTGTCTCTCATTACATATTACTTCTCTGTATATATGAAGAAAAGTCTGTAAACTCTAATATATTAGTTGTTGCTTAATTAAATATTTCTTCTCTGACAGGCATTGTGGTAAGCACTTTAGAAGTACAGTCTTTCAGTCCATGAATTATCATTATCTACATTGTCCATGAGAAAATGAAGTCAGAGTGATTATGTTGTTTACCCAATGAAGGCAGAGCTGAGACTTCAAACCAGCCACTTTTTTCCAGATCTGGCTGCACTCTGCTGCCTTCTGGTGTTGCCACCATCTTCTTGGCATGCCATAAACCTTGCAACAGTGTTTGAGACATTGTCCCCACTGGGAAGCTTCTCTAACTCCCCTCACCTGCGTGTGGCTGGATCAAGAACCCCCATGTCTCAGCAAGACCCTGAGATTGTCTCTGACTTTGTGCTCATCACAGAGAATTATAATCATTTGTTGGCTTCTTTGACTTTTGCTTCCACTGGACTGTGCTACCTAGTTAGTAGCCTTATATTTCTGGATCCAAAATAGGATTATTAAAGAATGACCTCAGATGAATTACCTGATGCTGCCAGCTTCAGTTTCTGTAAAATGCTATAATAATATGTATTTTAGGATTGTGTGGGGGGGGGGCACACATAAAACAGCACTAGGTACATAGTAAACTTCAATAAATAGTAATTGTGGCTGTTATTTTTGTGATTGGTAACCAAGGGGCATTGTTAAACATGAACAGTGTATATAGTGTGCTGATCAGAAATCTCTTAATTAATCTTACTGAATTTCTCTGCCCCACAATGAATTTTGACTTCCATCATCTCCATCCACGACAAGTGAGTTAAGTCAAAGTAGAGTACACCAGTGGTTTACTCTCTCAAAAAGGAAGGCTGTGGGGCTGGGATTGTAGCTCAGTGGTAGAACACTTGCCTAGCATGCGTGAGGCACTGGGTTCAATTCTCAGCACCGCATGTAAATCAATAAATAAAAAATAAAGGTCTATCAACAATTAAAATAATATTTCCTTTAACAAAAGGAAAGCTGTGTAAATGGAGCCCCCGGGGTACTCTCCTTTGACCCTCAGGGAAGTTTTGCTTCCTGGGCCATTACTTGCTGATAGTGCCCCTAAATGTTGCCACCAAGCCCAGCAAATCAACACATTTTACTGCTCCATTGTTACCAGCTACATGCAATCGGTATTGAGATCTATTCCTCCAGTAAGCAATCTCTGTATAGGAGCATTAAATCTCTGTATAGGAGCATTATGGGACCACACGGAGCCTCTTCTCTTGAGGTGGTGACTTGGATCTTGGGGGACAAAGAGAACTAACATTAGGAAACGTCTTTGACCAAGTGCCGGCCTTAGTGCCAGGTGCTTGGCATTTGTTGTATATATCAGCCTCATGGCAGTTCTGAGGGGAAGTCACTTTCTTGTTTCCTGGATGCAGCTGAGGGAAGCATTTAGTCAGCCATGGAATCAGGATTTCAGTCAAAGGGCTTTAACTCCCAGCCCATGTGTTTTCCTCTCCAATATGTTGCCTTCCCACTTGGGTTCTGGTTCCAGATCTATAACCATGCAAAGAACCTATGCTTTTCAAATGAAGAACTGGACCCCTGTTTTCTGTGTGTCTTGGACACCTCTGGTTTCCTGCTTTGTGGAGAAATGCTCCTGTGTTGGGTTAATGCTAGTGTCAGAACTTCCCTATGGCAACTTAGAGGATTTGCACGGGCACAGAGCAAATTCCTCAAGTGAGTAATCTCTTTTTAAAATGCCCGTACATTTTTCAGTGGTTACAGACTTGACAGGGCCTAGCTTTGAATTGACTGAAGCACTCCTGGCAGCATTTAGTCAGCTCCCTGAAGTGGAGTTTCATCTTGGACCAGCACAGGCAGCCCAGGAGCGGTGGAATGCCCTCCCCTGGGAAGCAAGCTGCCTGTCTACAAGGGGAGCAATTTCTGAGCCAAGATACTGGGTCTGTATGTGGCCTGCTGGTCCGTCTGAGCTGGTCACCTGTGTGCAGGTCACAGCCCAGGGGAAGGAAGATGGGACTAGTAGCACATATTTGCTTCAGAACCATTGTCTTCTCAGTCTCAGATCCAAAGCCTTCCATGAAATAAGAGTGGCTTTAAAAGATGTATTTCAAAAGACTTTTCAGAAAGCCCATAAAAAAAATCCTGGATGTAAAGATATGAGGCATAAAACCCAGACTGTTTGGAAGTCAAGCTGAAAATTGGGGGTAGCAAGTCTCCATTCCGACTTATTAAATGGGAGAATAACGTAACAGTAGCATCCAGATGGATTCTGAAAACTCTTCGGTTTTAGAAGCCTTTAGGTGTTTTACTCAGAAGCCCAAGTGCTGCCCACTTGAGCCCCTGCAGTGCTGCGGAGGAGGCACAAGAGCCAACATCTGTGCTGGTCTGGGGGACAAGGAGTGGAGTGTGGGAGTGACTCGAGGAAACTTTCATTAAGTCTGGTGTAGTGTGCATTGTGCGGGGCAGAGCCTCTTTCTCCTCTTAATGTGCAGGTTTTTACAGAAATGGAACCCCAGAGTGAGATACTGCACACTTGCGAAGGCACATTCCGAGTGCCGCGCGTGCCCCTGCCCGTCGCTCTTGTTTTCATTTTCCTCTCATGAACCTTGCTACCCTGGCTTCAGCACGGAGGCTGTAAAGGAAGATGGAGAGCCGAGTTACCTCAGAATGATCACTATCGTTAACATTCACGGGTGGTTCACTTATCATTCCTGACTGCACAGACATGGCAGCCGCTCGGAAGCGTCCGCAGGTGTAGCATGGTGATACATATTACATTGTGCCACAATGGATTTATGTATTCTGTAACAAAAGAAAAGTGTAATGAAAAAATACAGAAGGTAATCCTTTATTCCTCCACCACACAATTTATCAGTAATGCCTGTGGATGATAAGTGCCAGGGATTTCCTCTGCTTGCTTTAACCTTGTCACCTAGGTACGTTTTGGTAAAATGACAGAAAAATACAGACTGGGGATTTTCCTCTGTTCAAAAATATTTTAAAAGGACACTTTTAATTTATGGACGTTAGTCCAAACACAAGGCTTCCTTTTGAGCTTTTAGTCTGCCTTTGCTGAAAAAGATGAACACCTTGGCTTGAGGTAAGAGTATCAGCCAGTAGCAGATCAGGAAAGAAAGAAAGCATTTTATAAGCAGACTCAGATCTACAGTAGTTCAAGTAGAACCTGGATGAGTGGGGAGTTCTTGAAGTCTAGGCAGGACTAGTTTGTGAGTGCCCAAGAACTTGTATTCCCATTCAGCCCTGCTGGTCCATCGCTCTACGTATTGCCACAGATGGAGCGCACACTGACTTCCGAGGAGAAAGCCGGGGAAGGCAAATCTGAACGTGGTTGATTGGCATTTGTTCCAAACACACACTGGCCTAGTGCCAGAACAAATACCCCAAGTTTTTAAATGTCCAAGGCACTTTACATTTCAGTACTCTTGCCAAAGTATCACTTACTGCATCACTCCCTAAATATAGTTTTTTTTAAAAAGAGCTATTTCTTATTTTGCTTTGATCAGTAAAATAAACTTTTGAAGATTGTTCTGGGATAGGGTCCAGCTTCTGAGGTAAAGAATGGCCAGGGCTCAGGCATGATTCAGTAACAGAGTGTTCAGTAAAATTAGCTTGACAGTTCTCAGGCCTGCTGTTCGATAGCAAGAACTTGACCAAGTTAAAATGGATGATCATGCTGGCCAGACCAGCATCAGTTTTGCTTTTTAACAAATGGAATGTCAGAGATTAAATAGCCATCCGTATGGAGAGGAGGGTTGTGGATATGTCTCTGTATTAGGGAAGCAAATTGGGTTCTTGGTTTTGATATTGGCCCCTCGCCCCTGTGGAGAGCCAGCCACCTGGTTGGGTCCAACCTAGACTTCAGGCCCCTTCTCAGTCTATCCTACCTTTGAGAAGTTTTTCCAGGATTTAGCTTGGGGCTTTGGCTTTTCTTTCAGATTTCTTGTCAATAGGAAGTTCTGCCATGTTTTTTGGCCATGTTCCCCTTTGAGATTCTTACAGGGAAATGGGAATGTGACCAGACTCCTCGTGGCAGTTCCCATGTTCCATAGTTGGAAACTTGAGTCCTGCTTGTTACACGAACTACTTGGAATGGTCCCGTTTTGTTCCTTTGCCCAAGCGTAGTGGGTAATAGTTAGGATACTTGCTTTTGCAATTAACAGTCTTGATGAGGTTTATACCTCACCCAGGAGTTGGGCTGCTGTTTTTGACTACTTGTTCTTTAGCTATTTTCCCCTTAGATGAAGCCCCCTACCCCTACCTAATTTGATCGACTAGAAGCTTACAGGTGGTGTTAATTCTTTGTCTTATAATTGTTTGTGCATCAGGTAATATTTTGTTTGTCTTTTTAGGACTAAGTAGATGAAAACATTCCTACTGACATGTACACAAACTCTATATTTAATAATACACATAAAGAGAGATGTATGCTTTGCTAGGCAGTTAAAAGAGCCTTTTTTTTTTCTGCATCTAAATTGCTTTGGGGTGTCCTTTCCCCCAGCCTTCATGATGCTTTTCCTCCAGGGCTTGTTATTCCAATGGCAGGATCTGCCTGCAGTGACATCTGCTGACACGCCAAGTTTACCAATTGTCAGTCCTCGCTGCAGGATTTGACTGAGGAGCCAGCACCAGGAACCCACAGTATTACTGACTCACACAGACCTAATAGTTTCAATTTGAGATGATTCAGGAAAAAAAAAAATACCCTAACCCTGACCTCTCTTTCATTTGGAACTTCTTATACTTCAGTATCTCCCTCCCTCCATTAGAAGTAGATTAAATTCATCCTATTTTTAGGTAATAGACACTAATAATTGATTTATATTTAGTTTAAAACTTTCTGAAACACGATGAAGACTGTAGTAATGTCCCTCTGGTTGAATGTTTGTGATGATTTAACGTTTGTCTTTTCCTGCAGAAATGCTGCTCATGGATTCTCCCTCATTCAGGTGGACAACACCAAGGTCACCATGAAGGAGATCTTGCTGAAGGCAGTGAAGCGAAGAAAAGGATCCCAGAAGATATCAGGTGGGAGAGCAGAATCCAACCCAGCAGCAGAAGCTTAACCCTTAGTGAAAAGGGCTGTGTGTAATGGCTGGCTGGGTTGTTTCAGATATCATTGCTAGGAAGTTTGGTTAGCAGGTCTACAGCACCAAAACAAAACACAAATAATTCAACTCCCACCCCTCCCCCCACCAACCAAACCCTGGCTGGGCCTTAGGAAGGGATTGGGTCAGGGACATATGTGTGAAGAATATGTTCATATCAGTTATGGACATTCCGTCATTAATAATTTGTGGTAAATTAAGACAGAGCTACTTGTGTTAACCATTAGTTGATGTAAAGCTGTCTTAAAAACTGAATCAATCCTGAACTTGAATTATTGCTTTTAATTTCATGTTTTCACATAATTTTTCAAAGGAGAACTTTTAATTACTAGTGTTTAAGATATGGGAAAAAATAGAAGAAAAAAATTTCATTTTTACCAAACGAAGACAACCTTTAAAAATCTTTTTTAAAGATAAGTCACTTTATGGATACAAATACGTATTAGTCTCTTAACTCTTCACTCCCCGACTTGGTGTAGAAAATAGGCTTCTGATCCTAGCTATGATATTTAAAGAATATAGGGGGAAAATGTTGCTCGTATTGAGAAATAATTATCTTGAGAAATAGCTCAAAGATTTGTCATACCACAGACAACTTTAATATAAATCAACCTATGTATGACATGTCAAAGAGCTTTGTAAATAAAAAGACTTCTTAAACACTTGATTTCACCTTTTGGAAAGGATAAAAAAGAATTGCTCGTATTGAAGAAAATAGTTTTGTGCTCTTTTTAAGGGAAAGCATATAATCTGTTCCAGATTTAATTAGCTATCTTCAGATGAAAGCTGAAGTTTTAATAAAAGTTAGAAGAGATAACACAGTGAAGGACACGGATGAGCTGTCTCAAGGCCATATTCCAGGGGAACGATAAGAGCTGTAAAAAATGGCAGAGGAGAGCAATTGAATGGAGCAATGAAAATCTGATTCTCATAAAAAAGAGAGAGAGAGAGAGATGCTGGTAGGGGCGGTTGTAGATGAGACCTGCTAGCGTCTGCAAGCAATTTGGATGCTTGCCAGGAGTCATTGTTCACCCTCGGCTGTGGCGGCTCCGTCCAGATGTGCCAACTGCACGTTTCGGCTTTTGCCAGCTGACTGCGCCGTTTGATAACCAGCTCTCTGGATGCCCATCACTGGCCGCAGAGATAGAATTAAATGATGATGATCTTCCCACAAGTTGGGAGAGGAAACAATGCATATAAATCTTGATTTCATCTCAGCATGAGAAGTCTTTATCCATCATCACTCATAATGAACAAGTCGTTAGCTGGGATGAATGGTGTTCTGGTTTTTCCAAACACCTCTTTTGTTCATTTTTTGGGTGACTTTTATCTATTGCGTGGGGGTCAAACCTCTTTGCATTTAGGGGATGATTGAAGAGGCATAGCCTCTCCTTCCCAAGGGAAAGTAGATATTTTAGGGTTCCAGGTGCCAATCAGTAGCTTTTAAAGCGCCTTAGATACTCAGAGAGATTTAATAAGCATCCATTCTCCTTTAAAATCTGGGTTCTTTTCTCTTGTTTGTCTCTAAGTTTTTTTTACATGATACATATTTTGTGATGTAATTCTTTATACTCTAAGAATGCAGTATTTTGAATTGTCAAAGAAGAAAATAGAACTTTTGACCTTCTTAATAGAAATTCTGCTGTCACAGATTTTTCGAGACCATGAAACTCCTATGAAGTTGCCGGGATAAAGCTGAGCCAGTGTCTTTCCTTCTGTCTGCAGCCATCTCTGTCCAATTTTATGCCTGTTTATCCATGTCATCCCCAGCATCCACATTTATCACACACACATTTATTTATGTTCACCTTTGTGTCTGCATTTCTGCCATTTCCTTCAGAGTCTTTGCCATATCCTTGGCAAAGACTTAGTACTCAATATCAGAAAAAATGATCTGCATTATTTATTCCTTTTCATACTAGAGAAGCCAATTGAGATTGATACATTTACATAAATTACTGTCCATTTTCTTAATCCAAAAAGCTCTTATAATAAGAAGCTCTTTCAATTGCTTTATTAAATGTCTGGTCTCATGATATAAGAGGATCTCTAGTTTGGCTAAGATATTTGCCTAAGGTTAGCCCAGTAAAGTCAGAGAATACTTTGTGGTTTTGAACTTTGTGTGGTGGGTTTCTTTTAGAAGTTGATTAATGAAAAGAGAGAAATCTGATGTCATAGAAGGGAGCATAAGTACATTTACTTTTCAAAATCTGTTGGTACTCAAAATTGCTATGAAATACTTAGTACTTACCCATTATGACACATGAACTTAGTCATGAACTTGGTGGGAAGAGATGCCAAGTTAGAGATACTCGTCCTTTACTTGCTAGTTGTCCCACAGTGGCCTGCCCAGTCTTTGGAAGAAGATGTCTATTATATCTAGAACAGTATCAGAGTGCTTAGCCCTCTGGTCAAGCAGCTTTTAACTGATGGAGTGCAGAATCCTGTTTGTCTCTTTAACATTGTTTTTTAACTTGAGAAGTGGAAAAATGCCACCTGAAATAAAGTAACACGTGTGGGCCATGTGAAGTTAGTAGTTCCCATGCTGTTCATTAGCTGTTAGTTAATATTAGAATAAGATTTCAGAAATTCTTTGGTAAACTAACAGTGAACTTCTATCTTGTTCCCGAATAACCACACAGCACTTCATTTAATTGTAACAATGAATTAGGAATTTGAACTATTTCATATTAAATCAAAATGTGGGATTAATGATAGTCCTGATATTTAAATACTTTATTGTCCTTCCTTCTGGCATGGCACTTGCTGTTTGTAAAAATATCAGAAAGTACTATATGTTTGAGCAGAAATTCATCTTTGTTTAGGTAAATTGCTTCATCCATAGAAACACAGAGGGCTTTAAAATATTTTTGCTTTTTAAGATAGAATACCATTACAAACACTTGTAACTAATCCAAATTTTGACTTGCATTACTTGTATTATTTCATCGAATCACAACTATTTGTGAACACTACGGGGCTTTTTCCTGTTGATATTCATGTACTTAGCTATAGGGGTCTTTGCACAGTGTATTCCAGTCAGCTCTTTGCTAAGGCCCATTTTTTAAAGTCTACTTTTAAAGTTTCTTTTAGAAGTTTCTCTGTAGCTTTTCAGTTTATTTCTGACCTATTGACATTTGGAATCTACATGCATTGCTAGGAAGTTCTCACTATTGGAGAAAATGGTAAATGGAGAATCAGTTTTCAGAAGAATTTGATGAGATCTTTTTACTAATTTAAATAGTTACGTGGGTGAGTTTTTGACACAGTGAAGATAACCTGTTTAGGCCCCTGGATTCAGCCAGTAAAATATACTCACCTGTTTAGTAAATAAAGACCTCAGTTCATCGGATCTCCCTCTGTCAAGGTCACCTGCTTGATTAGTGACCTCATGAGCTTCTCAGTGTTTTGTTTATTGTTGTTTAGAAATACTATTACCCACTGGTCTCCCAAAGCTTGATGTTGGCTATGACAGAGACATGGTTGAGAAATGGAGGCAGATCAGTTTCAATTTTAACACTGACCCAGGGAATACAGGTACCTCTTGATCTACAAAAGAGAGAAGGCTTCACAGTGGGATTAACCAAGCAGAGTAGAATTCTGTATTTCTGATTCAGTATTCATTCTCATTATGAAATGGAGGTGCTTTTCTCTGTTATCTGCTGAAAGTTGAACAAAAGCAAATTCACTTTTCCTTACCCCTATCTTCTTGTCTTTTGATGTGAAAGATAAATTTTTGTTAGTGTGGAGATCCTTTTTAAAAGTTCTGCTATTATAAACCTTGAGACGTGCATTCCTACTCTCTTATAAAATTTCACCTATAACACTCAAAAGGAAATTAGCTTTGTCAAATGAATGCCCTCTTAACATCTCTAGTTAAGTTACAGAGCACTCATTGCTTGCTAGTTAGATCTGATCTTACAAGACCGCCTAGAATGTCACCAAGGTGTTCCCTAAAGCACAGTAGGGAATTCCCTAAAGTACTGCTAGCAGCAGAAAGAGGAAGCAAATATCTACTACAGAGTGTGGGGTTCTGGTCTGAGGGATACTAATAATGGCATCATTGGATTTTTAAAAATTCGTGTAAAAACCCACATATTAATCCATAACATATTGTAGCTCTGGGGTACATTCCCTCTTTGTGTACCCCCATATATTAGACCTGTGCCCGATTAAGGAAGCAGTGGTGAGGATCCACAAGACCCTTGCTGAGGAGGACTTTGTGTTCTAGAGAGAAAGTAACAATAAAGGCCTGAAAGGGTGAAGAATAGCTTGCAGGAAAACTCACTGCATCCTGTTTGGTGTTTAGGGAACTCCTCTTCTGAGAAATTCACATAGTGACCTTCACTAGAGACTGTAGAGGGCAGTGCCATTCAAAGCAGTGGCTTACCATATGTAAGGATAAAGAGAACATTTAGATTACTTTGCAGTTGAATTTACTTAACTTCTCCCCACCCAAAATTGTAGTAAGATTGACTTACAATAAGTGCCCAGCATAGGATACAGTCATCCACCCAATCACCAAACTACTATCCACTTGTCAGTCTTGAATTTTTCCCTGCTCTGTCTCCCCATGTCTTAACCATTAGCAAAGATATCTTGATCAGTTTTACCTCTAGAATATATCCTGAATCCGTTCAGTCATTTTCATCTTCATTGGATAAGTCCAAGTTACTGAGACTTTCTTCTGAACTGTTGAAAATAGCACCCTGGCTGGTTTTCTTGCTTCTGTTCTTAAGCACTTTCTAGTGATCAGAGATACCTTCTGAAATATGAATCAGATCATATATGCTCCAGACCCTTCACTGACTTACTGACTTCAGTTGCATTCAGAAAAAAATCAAACTTCCAACCACTGAGTCTCAAAGAGGGGAAGAGACAAGCAGACACAAAGAAAGGAAAGAACTGGAAAGAAATGTG